AGGGATAGGGATAGGGATAGGGATAGGGATAGATAGATAGATAGATAGATAGATAGATAGATAGATAGATAGATAGATAGATAGATAGATAGACAGACAGACAGACAGACAGACAGACAGACAGACAGACATATTAATATTATCACACTCAGAGATATTTTCCCAAAGTGACAATCAAAGAACGAAGGGGTTGAGACTAGGGACTTATAACCAGCTATTCAGGCAGCTCGCTGAGAACAAATGCATCTTTCAGGTTTGGCTGAAGTTGTAAAGCAGGAGGGTGTTTGGTTTTTCAGTGTGCAGGTAGTCCTCGACTTACATTCATTTAGTGACTGTTCAAAGGTACGACAGCACAGAAAAAAGTGACATGACCAGTCCTTGCTAGGCTGGCACAGTAGTTAGAATGCAGTATTACAGGCTAATTCTGCCAAATGCCAAGAGTTCAATCCTGACCGTTGACTCAGCCTTCCGTCCTTCTAAAGTCGGTAAAATGAGGACCCAGATTGTTGGGGTCAAGAGGCTGACTCTGTAAACCGCTTAGAGAGGGCTGCAAAGCTCTGTGAAGCGGTATATAAGTCTAAGTGCTATTGCAGGCAAACTCTGCCCAGTGCCAGACCTTCTGACCAGCCAAGTCAGTGGGGAATGCCAGATTCACTTAACAACCGTTTTACTAATTTAACACCTGCAGCGATTCACTTAACAAACATGACAAGCAAAGTTGTACAATGGGGCAAAACTCACTTAACAAATTTCTCACTCAGCAACAGAAATTCTGGGTTCAATTGTGGTGGTAAGTCGATGGACTCCCTGTATTTCTGTTAAGCTAACAGAAAATCCAAAAACAAATAATAGCGATAATAAAACGATATTTAAAGAGAGTTAAGAGTCTTCCTAACCACTGACTTCTTTCCCATGAGAACTCAGGCCATTCGATCAACAGAAAATGTAGCTGAAAATGCTCTTCACGGAGCTTAGATTTGCAGTTTAACCATGGTCTTCTAAAAATGAAATAATCTGAAATAATCTGAACAGAAAAACCATTAACGCAGAAAGGCAGATTTTTCACTCAACAGTATTCCTGAAGATTAAAGAGCCCGGGTAGAATCCGTGCACTTAAAACGTTTACCAATCATCTACAGAATTCGTCCTCCCCAATTATGTCTCGGTTTATTCAACATTTAATGACTCACAGAGACAGTTTTACAATCAACAATCCATTCTATGAGCACATTTACATTATATGAACCCTTTGTTGATAAACATTGGAAGCTCTTTTAAGAAACTCGGGCAAACAAAACTGTCACTCCCCAACAGACCAACCCAACTTTGCCTAAAACACAAACTTGAAAAAAGAGTTACACGGAGAGAATGCCGTATACCAATAAAAAAACCTTATTTTAAAATAAAAGGATCCTGGGGGTGGCGGGAGGGGGATGGGTATTTTTCTATCACAACCTTTTAATGCACCTCTAAGAGCCTAGTGGTTCTATAAAGATGGGGAAACCGGAAAACAAAAGATACCTGGATACAATTGGATGAACCTTGAAGCATGCAGAAGTCCCATTTTTTAAAAAGTTAGAAATAACAATAAATTAACAATCGACTAGCCCTGATGATGTTACCTAGTAAGGATAATGAAACGTATGCAAGAAAACCACCAAGCTCAGAGAGCACCAAGGACCCCACAGGCCTCCTCCTCCTCCTTTTCCTCCTCCTCCCCAAAACTCCACTTCCTTCTAGCACTGATGATGTTACCTAGTTGGGTAATGAAATGCCTGCAAGAAAACAAGCAAGCTCAGAGGGCACCAAGGACACCACAGTCTTCCTTCTCCTCCTCCTCTCCACAATCCCCACTCCCTTCTAGCACTGATGATGTTACCTAGTTGGGTAATGAAACGCCTACAAGAAAACAAGCAAGCTCAGAGGGCACCAAGGACCTCACAGTCTTCCTCCTCCTCCTCTCTGCAATCCCCACTCCCTTTTAGCACTGATGATGTTACCTAGTTGGGTAATGAAACACCTGCAAGAAAACTAGCAAGCTCAGAGGGCACCAAGGACCTCACAGTCCTCTTCCTCCTCCTCTCTCCACAATCCTCACTCCCTCCTAGCAGTGATGATGTTACCTAGTTGGGTTATGAAACGCCTGCAAGAAAACTAGCAAGCTCAGAGGGCACCAAGGATCCCTCATAACAATCCATGGCTGTTAAGCGAATCATGCAGTTGTTAAGCAAATCAGGTGGTCCTTAAATGAATCCAACTTCCCCCATTGACTTTGCTTGTGTCACAAATGGTGATCACATAACTCCAGGATGCTGCAGCCCTCATAAATTTATGCCAGTTGTCAAGCATCCAAATTTTGATCACATGACCATGGAAATGCTGCAATGGTTATAAGTGAGAGGACCAATGGCAATAACATGTAGACTTATATACCACCTTACAGCTCTCTAAGCGGTTTACAGAGTCAGCACATTGCCCCCCAACAATCTGGATCCTCATTTTACCAACCTTGGAAGGATGGAAGGCTGAGTCAACCTTGAGCCGGTCAGGATCGAACTCTTGGCAGTGGGCAGAGTTAGCCAGCAATATTTAATTGAAACCACAGTGCCATCATGGCTCTTACAACCACCACTTATAAGTTATTTTTTTCAGTGCCTTTGTAATTTTGAACGGTTACTAAATACAGGTAGTCCACAACTTACGACCTCAATTGAGCCCAAAATTTAGATTGCTAAGTGAGAAATTTGTTAAGTGGGTTTTGCCCCATTTTACGACTTTTCTCGCCACATTTCTTAAGTGAGTCGCCGCAGTTCTTAAAATTAATAATAATACGGTTGTTAAGGGGATCTGTTTTCCCCATTGACTTTGCTTG